CAGGAGTTTCTGCAGCATTCTGTATGCTTTTTTCCGTCGTAGCTTGTCATCACTCATTCTGGCTGCCTTTATCAGTATTGATGTCATCCACTGGGGAGCGCTAATAATGATTAAAAAAAAGTATTTTAAAAAGAGTTGCCTATTTCTACAAGGATGCAAACAAGTAAATATACTACAGAATTTCCCATTTGGCTCAAATGTTGTACATGCACTCACAAGAACATAGCCTTTAATGAGCCTTATTGCATAAATTCCAGAAATCAGGATCATCAGAACACAGCCTTTTTTCCACTTTATACAGACTCCAAATTGTTAAGACCGGGCGGAAGGTTCCTCCAATAATCACCCATGATAAGAATGGTAGCCAGGATCATAATATATATTCCTCTCCATAGTTACATAGAGAAAGAAATTCGCTCCAGTCGTGTATTACCAAAGGTAAACAACTTTAATAGGCCAAAATATTGCACTTACAACATTCCAAAATTAGTTGAGCCTTATTTAAAATAGTCTTTCAGTGAAACAGATATCGCAGGTGCTCTCACCACCTCTGGATCTGCCGGACAGAACGCTGTCTCATCACTTCTGGTTGCGTATCTGCGTCACTACCGGTCCGCTGCACCGTTACACCCTGACATGTTTCATCATACCTAACTTAATCATAGGGATCCCTATTATATCATATATAATTTGTTTATTTTTTGTCATATATATTTTTATGTCACATATAATATATACCACTTAATATTTGTGTAAATGAGTTTGCACATAGAGACCATCAAAAGGAATTAATGTGACACTTATATATAATGCGCCGCTAATTATCACCAATATTAGGAGTGGTATTTTTTGGAATAAGGCCTAAGATTGCCCCAGATAAATAGAGATGCTTGTTGTTGCAAGATTCGTAGATAATGGGATGGAACCGGGATTGGGAGTAGAGGTAAAGAATTTTAAGGGAGGATAGACATTTTACCAACTGTGATCTTGTCCATCCAAGCCAAAGGCCAAGAGGCCTGAATAGACATTAGAGTTGTGAGGTGGAAAAGTATTGGGAGTCTGCTGTATGGAGATCTGATGGGTTTTCTGTGAATTTAATACCCAGGAAAGGAATGCGCCTGCTGGCCCAAGGAAAGAGGAGGATCTGGCAAAGCTAGACGGTGGGGAAATGTTTAAGAGCTGTTGATTGGGGATTAACTATAAGACTGGAAATGCGTCTAAAACTGGAAAAAGTTTCTAATAATTTTGGGGCACAAATTAAATGGGAGGTCATAAAGACAAGGATGGCATCTGCAAAGAGACAGAGCTTGTGGTGATGACCACCCATGAATATTAGGGTTCAAGCGCATTAATAGGGCTAGGGGCTCAATCTCTAAGGCAAAAAGGAGAGGGGAGAGAGGGCATCCTTGATGGGTGCCGCGTTCTATAGGGAAGGTATCATAGCCAGCGCATGACACAAAGGCTGTGGGATTAGCGTATAGCGCAGAGGTCCATATAGAAAATGGAATTCAAACCCCCCAGTGACGCAGAATAAAATTCAAATAAGGACATGAAAGCGTGTCAAATGCTTTATGTATATCTAAAAAGATAAAGCACAAAGGAAAGTGACGTGTATGAGCAGCATAGGCCAGAAGTGTTATGCGTCAGACATTGTCGCCCGCTTGATGAAACGGGATAAACCCCGACTTAGTCTTTGTGTACTAAAGAGCTGATAAAAGGGTTGAGATGGGTGGACAGGATTTTCGAGAGGATTTTGACATCAAGATTGAGGATCGATACTGACCTAAAGTTAGACCAGGTGGAATCGTCTGCATGTGGCCTGGGAATCATGGAAATAGCTGCCATTAAAGAATGGAGTGAATTATAGGCTTTGACAAGTAGGGGAATGAGAAGATCAATCAACTTCTTGTAGTAGGTCACCAAGAGGCCATCAGGACCCGGTTGTTTTACGTTGTTTCAGAGCTTTGATTGCTATGCATATTTTTTTGGCTGTAATGGGTCGTTCCAGATTCTCCCAATGAGAGGAGGAGAGGGTAGGAAGTTGATGGGTGGAGAGGAGGGTATCCGTGCGGACATGGTCAAAAGCTTTAAAGTCTTGATAAAGGTCTACAAGGTATCTATGGCATTCCTGTATGATTTTCATTGGGTTGCTAGTATAAGTATCTGTAACAGCTTCAGTCTAATGGGTTTGGGGGTTGTTCAGCCCTGCGGCGCACCAGAGCCAGGAATGTATCAGGCTTGCTTGATTTCATATAAAGTGTGTGTTGCGGCTTGCAGAGGGTTTTTTCTGCTGATTCTGTCAGAAAAAGGTCAAGCTCTAAGCTCGCTTTTTTAAAGTCCTGTTCAGTTTCTGGAGAGGGTGGATTTGAAAGGATGCTGAGGCCTTATAAAAGGCTTCCTCCAAGCATTTATTCTGGAGGCTTTTCTTTTTGTGCTGGTGTGAGGCCTGGCTGATACAGACACCCCTGATGAGCAGTTTATGAGCTTCCCATAATGTGAAAGGGGAAATGTCCATAGACGCCTTGTTAGCAATGTAGTTTGTAAGGGCAGTTTCAACTTCCAAGAGTCCAAGTCTGCCAAAAGACTGTCATTGAAATACCAAAATGTGTGGATAGGTCTAGGGATCAGAAATGAGAGCGACATGAGGACGGCGCTGTGGTGGTCAGTCCAAGAGAAGGGTAATGGTCCCCAGGCTAATAGAGGAGCCAACAGTGTGAGAAAGATGTGATCCTGATGTGGGTGCAGGTCTAGCAAGGGTTGGTCTCTCAAAGGGTCTAGAGGGTTTAAGAGTTGCTAAAAGAAAAGGCAACTAGGGGATGAGAATTTGTCAGTGATAAAACTCTGCAAGGATTAAGTGTAAATGGCGGGAAAAGAAATCGATGAAGCATAGTAAAAGGCAATAAGTAGTCACAGAGGTAACGGCTCTGCGTTTTCTAGCGGAAATGGCAGAGGCTAAGTACACCTCTCTTTTTAGCTTGTGGGTATTGGTAGGGGAGGGTTGGGAACAATTAAGCAAACAAAATTGTAGTGCAATGAATGCAAAGAGAGCAAATACAACAGAGTCCATCAATTAAGCCTGAAACAACTGGGTATATTTACGGTGACGTGGAGGTTCTCTGTGGGCTCGCTAGGAGAGTAAGAGGGAAGAGGGTAGGGAATGGTGAGGTGTCTCATACACCTGGAAGGAAGCACTCAGTCCATGAAGTGTTCAGGACCTGGTGCTTGTGAGATAAAACATCCTCGTTTGTGAGTGCTTGAGGGAGCCTTCACCCCAGGGGAGGCTTGGAGCTTCCTCTGGAGCAGGATGCAGAGCGGTGACAGGAGCCCTCAGCAGCTGCATCTTGTGGTGCCAGGTGGAGATCCTAGAGTATAGATTGGAGGTCCTGAGCCGACTTACAAAGATACGAGGATCCCTTGTAGGAAAAGCGAATGGAGAAGGGGAAACCCAGCGGTAAGAAATGCGGTGGTGTTGTAGTATCTGCAGGTGAGGCTTTAAGGCTTTCCGTTTTTAGCAAGGGTGACCTTGGAAAATCATGAAGGATCTGGTAACGGTGACCTTGGAAGACCGACTACTCATTGAAGCGAGACACCATCAGCAATTGCTCTTTAGTGCAGAGAAAGTCACTACAATACCGGGGGGGGGGGGGTATTGTGCTGGGGGCGTTCTCCTTCTGTAGAGTTTGTCCATCTCAAGGCGCTCAATGGTATTGATGGTGCCAGTTCCTACAAGTTTGCAGTAATGGTGGATTGCAGGTCTTTCACTGTCTCAAGTATGCGTAGGTTAGAACACATGGCACTGTTTTCAAAATCCTCAAGGCGGGACTGAAGAGTAAGATTTTATTCACACAGGGCTGACCTAGGTCCCAGATTTCACAGGTCAGTTTCTCAGTGACAGTGTCAGAGGTATGCTTCAGGGCTTTCCTGAGCATCAGCTCGAACTAGCGGAGCAGGGCAGGCTGTGAATTACCAAATTGCAGGGCTAGAGGGGTCACCCCAAATTCTTTATCTGACTCATCGCCAGTTGTAGCCACTGGCAGGGTCTGTTTGGGAGTGCACGGTGTCGCAGGCCGGGAGGTTGAAAGCTTGGAGAAGGCCCTGACCAAGACGATTGATTTTGGCTTACATTTTTGTTTGAAGCCTCTATATCTACAGTTGCAAGAAAAAGTATGTGAACCCCTTGGGATTACGTGGAGTTTTGCATGAACTGGGCATAAAATGTGCTCTGAACGTCATCTAAGTCACAACAATAGAAGAACACAGTCTGCTGAACATAATACTTGTCAGGGCTCCCGGGTATGACCAGAGGTGTGTGACTGACGCAGGGAAACGCAGACTTCAGATATGTTATAAACAATGTAATTTATTAACACTAACCATACAAACATAAACGCAGTGCAATACTAAAACATAACACAGTGCAAACAAACCAACCAACCACCCACAGATAACAGTACATACAATGCAAGTGTCGTCAGGCAGGCCGGGTCAATATCAGTCGGGCAGGTAGGTACAGGGGGAGCAAGCGGAGAATGGTCGGGGTCACAGGCCAGGTTCAGCAGGTAGCGGGCAGCGTGGTACAGAGGGTCAGGCAGAGGAGAATGGTCAGACAAGCCAGGGATCAGAGCAGGGTCAGCAGAGAATCAGACAGGAACAGAGAGCAGGAACAGGATACAGGGCCCAAGAGAAACACAACACCAAGGCAGAGTCTGCAGGTCTGAATGTCCCTTAAATACACCAGTATAATTAGTTCCAGGTGTTTGACTGGCTGCAAGGTTGAGTCTCTGATTGCTGGGAGCACCCGCTGGCCAGCCCTGGTACTGCAGCTCATAAGGCAGCTGAGTCCCACTATTGCTGGCCAGTCCATTCCTGACAGTACCCCCCCCCTCAAGGAGCGGCCTCAGGACGCTCCAAACAGTCCTAGCTGGGCAAAATGTTCCACCGCCTGGGTCTGGTAACTGGCGGGATATCAAAGACTGGCACACCGGGCAGGACTGCGGGCAGCGGCACACCGGGCAGAGGCACATCGGGCTGGACTCCGGGCAGAGGCACATCGGGCTGGACTCCGGGCAGAGGCACATCGGGCTGGACTCCGGGCAGAGGCACATCGGGCTGGACTCCGGGCAGAGGCACATCGGGCTGGACTCCGGGCAGAGGCACATCGGGCTGGACTCCGGGCAGAGGCACATCGGGCTGGACTTCGGGCAGAGGCACATCGGGCAGAGGACTCCGGGCAGAGGCACATCGGGCAGGACTCCGGGCAGAGGCACATAGGGCTGGACTCCGGGCAGAGGCACATCGGGCAGAGTAGAGGCATCAGGCCGAGTAGAGGGCATCAGGCCGAGTAGTAGAGGCTTCAGGCCGAGTAGAGGCATCAGGCCGAGTAGAGGCTTCAGGCCCAGTAGAGGCTTCAGGCTGAAGAGAGGCATCAGGCTGCGTACAGGCATCAGGCCGAGTACAGGCATCAGGCTGAGTAGAGGATTCAGGCTGAGTAGAGGCTTCAGGCTGAACCACGGAAGGCAGGTTCACCGGTTTGGATACTGGCAGGATGGTATTGGTTGGAAAGAATTTTCTTTTTTTTTCTGGTTTTAACTACTGGAGCACTGCAAGTAAACGCAGGTCTGCAAACGAATGGAGCAGCTGGAGACAGAGAAGAAACTGGAGGATGGAACAGGCAAGGGAGCAGTTGCTACAGAGGGCTTTTTTACAGGGTTAAAGGCAGGATAGGTGCAGCGAGTGGGAACAGGGTACTGACATGCGGTAGATAGCAGGGCAGGAAGGAGTTGTTGTTGGGAATGCAGGAATAGAGTTTTGAGGAAATAGATTAGAAGCAGGACTGGGTTTTTGTAAGCTGACTGAGGCTGGGTGCAACAAGTCTGTCCATGTCTGCAGTAGGGGTTGAACAAAGCTGAGCTTACACAAAGCCTGTCTGGTCAATGACTGCACTGCGTTTATACAATCCCTTAATACCTGTGGTGAACATGTGGAATAACGCTCCAGAAAGTAACCCACATCATCCTCTAATAACCACACCAGGGACTCTACCTGGTCGGCACTAAATGGTGGCAAAAATTCATCCCTGCATTCGGGTGGTACCAGATGAAACCAACTCAGCACAAACCTCAATCAAAGGCTGCATCTCAGAGAATTCTGTGCCCTGATCTACTAGAACATGAGCGATCCGTATACATTCTAGCAGTTCATCCCGGGTACACTCCTTCAGAGTTTGATAAGCATACTCCCTGTCATCAAACACTAGCAGATATAAATACGCAACCTCATCCAGATCCATCCTTCCCATCAACAAGCCAAGATGGCTTCCCTGTGCAGCCACTTCTGGTCAGGATTGGCCTTGGTGTAATGTCAGGGCTCCCGGGTATATGACCAGAGGTGTGTGACTGACGCAGGGAAACGCAGACTTCAGATATGTTATAAACAATGTAATTTATTAACACTAACCATACAAACATAAACGCAGTGCAATACTAAAACATAACACAGTGCAAACAAACCAACCAACCACCCACAGATAACAGTACATAAAATGCAAGCATCGTCAGGCAGGCCGGGTCAATATCAGTCGGGCAGGTAGGTACAGGGGGAGCAAGCGGAGAATGGTCGGGGTCACAGGCCAGGTTCAGCAGGTAGCGGGCAGCGTGGTACAGAGGGTCAGGCAGAGGAGAATGGTCAGACAAGCCAGGGATCAGAGCAGGGTCAGCAGAGAATCAGACAGGAACAGAGAGCAGGAACAGGATACAGGGCCCAAGAGAAACACAACACCACGGCAGAGTCTGCAGGTCTGAATGTCCCTTAAATACACCAGTATAATTAGTTCCAGGTGTTTGACTGGCTGCAAGGTTGAGTCTCTGATTGCTGGGAGCACCCGCTGGCCAGCCCTGGTACTGCAGCTCATAAGGCAGCTGAGTCCCACTATTGCTGGCAGTCCATTCCTGACAATACTACACAAACATTAGATGTTGCCATGGTTTAATTGCACATAACATGTAAACATTCACAGTGCAGGGAGGAAAAAGTATGTGAGGCCCTAGCTTAATGACTTTTACAAAGAGCTAATTGGAGCCAGGAGTGAGCCAACCTTGACTCCAATCAGTGTGATGATATTGGATGTGTTGCTGACAGCTGTCCTGCCCTTAAAAAACACACACCTGTTTTGGGTTTACTGGTTTCAAGAAGCACTGTCTGATGTGAACCATGCCTCGCAGAAAAGAGCTCTCAGAAGACCTACGATCAAGAATTGTTGACTTGCATGAAGCTGGAAAGGGTTACAAAAGTATCTCCAAAAGCCTTGATGTTCATGTGTCCACGGTAAGACAGACTGTCTACAAATGGAGAAAGTTTAGCACTGTTGCTACTCTCCCTAGGCGTGGTCGTCCTGTAAAAATGACTGCAAGAGCACAGTGCAGAATGCTGCATGAGGTAAAGAAGAATCCCAGAGTGTCAGCTAAAGACCTACAGAAATCTTTGGCACATGCTAACATTTTTGTTGCCACATCTACAATAAGGAAAACATTAAACAAGAATGGAGTACATGGGAGGACACCACGGAGGAAGCCATTGCTGTCCAAAAAGAATATTGCAGCACGTTTGAAGTTTGCAAAAGAGCACGTGGATGTTCCACAGCACTACTGGCAAAAATATACTGTGGACAGATGAAACCAAGATTGAGTTGTTTGGGAAGAACACACAACACTATGTGTGGAGAAAAAAAGGCACAGCACACCAACATCAAAACCTCATCCCCACTGTAAAACATGGCGGAGGGAGCATCATGGTTTGGGGCTGCTTTGCTGCCTCAGGGCCTGGACGGATTGCTGTCATTGATGGGAAAATGAATTCCAGAGTTTATCAAGACATTTTGCAGGAAAACATACAACCATCTGTCCGCCAACTGAAGCTCCGCAGAGGATGGGTGATGCAACAGGACAATGACCCAAAGCATACAAGTAATTCAACAAAACAATGGCTGCAACAGCACAAAATACGCCTTCTGGAGTGGCCCAGTCAGAGTCCTGAGCTCAACCCGATTGAAATGCTGTGGCATGACCTTAAGAGAGCGATTCACACCAGACATCCCAAGAATATTGCTACACTGAAACAGTTTTGTGAAGAGGAGTGGTCCAAAATTACTCCAGATCGTTGTGCAGGTCTGATTTGCAACTACAGGAAACGTTTGGTTGAGGTTATTGCTGCCAAAGGAGGGTCAACCAGTTATTAAGTCCAAAGGTTCACATACTTTTTCCTCCCTGCACTGTGAATGTTTACATGTTATGTGCAATTAAACCATGGCAACATCTAATGTTTGTGTAGTATTATGTTCAGCAGACTGTGTTCTTCTATTGTTGTGACTTAGATGACGTTCAGAGCACAGTTTATGCCCAATTCATACAAAACTCCACGTAATTCCAAGGGGTTCACATACTTTTTCTTGCAACTGTACCTTCGATACCAAACAATGCTGTTTCATAGCTGTGTGTCCTCAGGAGAAACGGAGCACTAGGCAAGGATGTCTTGCTTGGTCGGCTCCGTGCATGTGCACCCTCCCCCTTTTATATTTTACCAAATTTATTTGGTTGTGTGCACTAAAATTTGCATTTGATAAACGTGCTGCAATGTCATGTGACATACAAAAACTGAAACTACCATCATTTTATTCTCCAGGGACTCTGCTCTCAAAATGTATACTTTTTTTTTTGGAGGGGGGAAGGGTTAACAAATCTTCAGGCCTAAAATGAGCATTTTAACACGTGCAAAAATGGAAAAAAATTACTCTGGTAGACAAGTGGTTAAGTAAAAATGTTGGCCTTTAACCACTTGCCTACCGGGCACTTATACCCCCTTCCTTACCAGGCCAATTTTCAGCTTTCAGCGCTGCCACACTTTGATTGACAATTGCGCAGTCATGCAACATTGTACCCATATGAAATTTTGATCATTTTTTCCTCACAAATAGAGCTTTCTTTTGGTGGTATTTACTCCCCGCTGGGCGCTTTACTTTTTGCGCTATAAATAAAAAAGTGCAAAAAATTTGGAAAAAAAAAAAAGTTTCTTTGTTTCTATTATAAAATTTTTCAAACAGGCATTTTTTCTCCTTCACTGATGTGCGTTGATGAGGCAGCACTGATGGGCACTGATGGCGGCACTGATGGGCACTGATAGGCAGTACTAATGAGGTGTCACGGATAGGCGGCACTGATAGACAGCACTAATGAGGTGTCACGGATAAGCGGCACTAATATGCAGCACTGATAGGCGGCACTGATAGGTGACACTGATGATGGGTACTAGACTGGCACTGACCATCCTGGGCACTGACTGGCAGCACTGCTGGGCTGCACTGGTGGGTGGCACTGGTGGGCACAGGTGGGTGGGCACAGGTGGGTGGCACTGGTGGGCACAGGGTGGCACTGCTGGGCACATGTAGGTGGCACTTCTGGGCACAGGTAGGTGGCACTGCAGAGTGGCACAGGTGGGTGCACTGCTGGGCACAGGTGGGTGCACTGCTGGGCACAGGTGGGTGCACTGCTGGGCACGGGTGGGCGGAGCTAGTGGGCGCACTGCTGGGCGGAACTTGCGGGTGGCACTGCTGGGCACCGATCATCAGGGCACTGATCATCAGTGCCCTGATGATCGGTGCCGATCCCCGCTCTGACAACTGCCGGTTCTCGGCAGTACTTTCCTCACGATCTGACAGTGTGAGGAAAGTGCAGCCGAGAACCGGCACTTCCATTTCCCTCTGATCAGCATGTCATTGGACACCGCTGATCAGGTGGTAAAAGGCCGCTGTGATTGGCCTTTTACCACATCACGTGATCAGCTGTGTCCGTAGGACAAGAGGTTAAAGTAACACTAACAGATATTATTTTATTATCATTCTTCACACTGACCACCAATGTAAATAACATTATTACCACTGACCACAATGTAAGGCACATTCTTCCACTAACCCACATTGTAAGTAACATTCTTCCCATTGACCACCAATGTAAGGGACATTCTTCCACTGACCACCAATGAAAGGGACATTCTTCCACTAAATACCAATGTAAACACATTCTTCACATTGACCACCAATGTAAGGAGCATTCTTCCTATTGACCACCAATATAAGGAGAATTCTCCCCAATGACCAGCAGTGTAGGTAAGATTCTTCCCACTGACTACGAATGTAAGGGACATTCTTCCCACTGACCACCAATGTAAGGAACATTCTTCCCACAGACCACAATGTAAGGGACATTCTTCAAACTGACTACCAATGGGTTTTAGCAGTTGTTTCCTTTGACCTGAAATTTATTTTGAAGGTTCCTCTAGGACAAGAAGGTTGGAAAAGGCTGGCATAGACAGTCCAAAGTCAATGTTAGCTAATGAGTACAATTCATACCAATGTGTTGCCTTTGCAGTACAGTGCAGTTAAAAAAAAAAAGTAGAGCAAACTGCATATTTTTCACAATGTAAATGCGCATAAATGTGCGTAAATGCAACATATGTAAAGGAAACTCTGGAAACCTAAAACAAGTTTGGCTACATACATTCCCACAGGTGCATATGTTTAGCATGTGTTTGAAGTTTGTCTTTTTTGCTAAGCATTTTTGGCATGATGAAGGACAGGTCATCACAGAGTTGTTTTTATGTGCATTATGTAACACATACATACATTTATGTGTGTTTGCGTTGCAAAAAAATGCAGCTTGCTGTACTGTTTAGGAATGAATTGAAACACAGTGCTGTGATATGTGCTAATTAGCTAGCATTGATTTTGGACTGTGTATGCCCCTGGTGCCCAACCTGTGGCCCAAGGGTGGCATGCGGCCATTTAGGTATATGATGTGCATCCCTCGGACCTCAGTTTTCAGCAGGAACATTGATTAGGGTAATAGCATTGATCTCTGCTAGCCTCATGTAACATTTCTTAGTGTCTGATTGTCTTCTGCAGCATATCCCCAGCAAAAATTGTAGCATACTCTCTGATCCTCATTTCCTCTTGTAGGGTTTATTCACTCTTGACTCAAAATGCTAACAGTTAACAAATGCACATATAGCGTTAATGCACTTTAATAGGTTTGTTTAATTTGCGCTTAAACGTAGTTACAAATACTCCCCAGGCACCCTATGTGCATTTTTTTTGCGCATTCGACAGCGTTAATAGCACCACAAATGCATATTTTTTAAAAAAGTAAACTGTAATGTTATATACGTGCCGCCACCACACAACAAATGCATGTCGATGTATTTGCGGTGTGTTACCATAGACTTGAATGGAAGGAGTTGAAATGTTTCAACTCCTTCAAACTCAACATGAAGCTTCAAGTTTGAAGCGACACTAACACTCCATGTTTTGATAATGTGAACAGCACTGTGTGCTGTCCATATTAACAATTACATAGGAGTTTGAGGAGCGTTTAAAACCCCTGCTTTCAATGCCAGTGTGAACAGAGCCTTAGGTCTTCAATTTCTGACAGTCCTACATACACTATATTGCCAAAAGTATTGGGCCACCTGCCTTTACATGCACATGAACTTTAATGACATCCCAGTCTTAGTCAGTAGGGTTCAATATTGAGTTAGCCCACCCTTTGCAGCTATAACAGCTTCAATTCTTCTTGGAAGGCTGTCCACAAGGTTTAGGAATGTGTCTATGGGAACGTTTAACCATTCTTCCAGAAGTGCATTTGTGAGGTCAGGCACTGATGTCAGACAAGAAGGCCTGGCTTGCAGTCTCCACTCTAATTCATCCCAAAGGTGTTCTATGGGGTTGAGGTCATGTTGGAACATATCATGTCCAAACTGCTCCCACAAAGTTGGGAGCATGAAATTGTCCAAAATGTCTTGGCATGCTGATACCTTAAGCATTCCCTTTACTGGAGCTAAGGGGCCAAACCCAACCCCTGAAAAACAACCCCACACACCATAATCCTCCTCCACCAAACCTTACACTTGGCACAGTGCAGTCAGGCAAGTACTGTTCTCCTGGCAACCGTCAAACCCAGGAACGTCCATTGGATTGCCAGACAGAGAAGTGTGATTCGTCCCTCCAGAGAACACGTTTACACTGCTCTAGAGTCCAGTGGCGGCGTCCTTTACACCACTGCATCGGCCGCATTGCATTGCAGTTGGTGATGCAAGGCTTGGATGCAGCTGCTCAGCCATGGAAACCCATTCCATGAAGCTCTCTACGCACTCTTGTGCTAATCTGAAGGCCACACCAAGTTTGGAAGCTTTAGCTATTACCTTTGCAGAAAGTTGGCAACTTCTGCGCACTGTTCGCTTCAGAATGAACTGACCCCGCTCGGTCATTTTTTGTGGCCTACCACTTCATGGCTGAGTTGCTGTTCTTCCCAATTGCTTCCACTTTGTTATAATACCACTAAGAGTTGACTGTGGAATATTTAGTAGCAAGGAAATTTCATGGATAGACTTATTGGACAGGTTGCAACCTATCACGGTACCACGCTTGAATTCCCTGAGCTCCATTCTTTCACAAATGTTTGTAGAAGCAGTCTGCATGCCTAGGTGCTTGATTTTATACACCTGTGGGCATGTAGGTGATTGGAACACCTGAATCCAATGATTGGAGGGCTGGCCCAATACGTTTGGCAATATGGTGTAGGTTTTGTGCTGCCCTAGGCAACACAAAAAACTGTGCCCCCCCAATCAGACAGCCGGAGATTACCGGAGCCATGATCAGGAAAGCCCAGGTGAGCTCATCCAGTTATCCGGATATCCCCAGGAACAACAGTCTGCAGCCTCTTTCGGATCCCATGTGGCGGAGTGGAGCTCATGCAGTGCCTCACTGGGTCTGGTTCCATTCTCCCCTGTGTCCCTTCTATCACCGAAAAATGCTACCAAAGGCAAATGCCTTGTTTGCTGTATGGTAAATATGCCCCTGATGCAGTGGCAATGTGTTCATGAACACATCCCACTGCATCTGGTGGGAATAAGCTCAAAAACTTAGACTGCACTGCAAGTGCATGTAAACACATGTAAAACACAGGTAAATGCACATGTGGAAATGCTGAGAAAAATGCACAATTTCTGGTTCGAATGAGCCTTCAAAGCTGGGAAAACATACAGGACAAGATTTTAAAATAAGACTACTAATATAAAATATATAATTACCTTCTGTATTTCCTAGAATGATTTATATATAATACATGCAGTCAATCTGCCAATCAATCAATCTTAGCCTGGGTTCACACTTCTGCGCATGTGAATCGCACAGGAACCGCACTGCATTCCTGTGCAAATCACATGCGAATTCTGTGCAGTGGGATTTGAGCCATACATTATGTATGGCTCAAATCGCACCGCATCCACACCAAAAAAGGTGCAGGACCCTTTTTTTGGTCCACACTGGAATCAGATCGCCCAGGCGTATTCATACCCATGCAATCTGTGCACATCGCACCGTTTTGCGAACTGATTTCAGGGTGTTGTTAACATACACACCTGCAGAGGTTCGCATGAATGAAGTGCGATTGTGATGCGGTGCGGAATTCCGCACCACATCAGTGTGAACCCCGGCTTAATGTAACATTATAAAATTATGCAATTATTTCATCTACCCAAATTCCTGGCACTTCTGCTGAAATCTCTCCATCAGTCTGTGCAGAATTGGAGCTGACAGTCCCTGGAATGTCACTTCCTGTCCTCTCTGTGACCCCCCCCCCCCCCTACAGGTCATACAATAGGTGCAGTGATGTAATTATGTACAACAAAGAGGACAGATCAGAGGATGTAATAGCAGGAGCACACCAATCCAGCACACTATTCATAATAATACATAATACCATATGTATATAGTGTGTGTGTGTGTGTGTGTGTATATATATTATATATATTTATTATATAATGATAAGATTAAAAAATATACAGTATGCATGGTTTGCTGCTTTTGGAATAACAGAAAACAGTTGCTGTAAGGGTCCATTCACAACATATGCGCTATATTGCGCTGATCAACACATGCCCATGCACATACATTGTCAAAGCAATGTATTTCATTATTTCTTTTTTTTGTGTAAATGCATGTACAGTACAAAAAGTATATTTTGAAATATATTTTAAAAATACTCTTCCCAAATCTATTGACATATATTTGAAATGCTACATATTTGGCCATATTCAATATATTTCAAAATATAGTTCAGTAAATTAAAAAAAAAAAAAAAAAAAAAAAAAAAAAAAAATATATATATATATATATATATATATATATATATATATATATATATATATATATATTACACACAGATATATATATAGAGATATATAGAGATATAGATGGTATGTTGAAATACTTTTTTATTACAAAACATATGAAAAAAATTGTATTTAAAAAAATACATTTCAGATATACTGTATGTCTTTAAGAATACAAATCTACATTTTTGGAATGTATTTACAAATATATGTAAAATTTATATACAGTTACAAACATTTGGTGAAGGGACAAGAGAATTAAAATGACTATTTTATATGTTAAAAATATCTGAAGAATATATTTTTGAAAAAATATATATTTTTACAAAATATTTTCAGATATATATATAATATATATATATATAAAAATATATATATACATTTTTTATTTTTTAAATATATTGAATATGGCCAAAATTGTAGTATTTCAAATATATGTCAATATATTTGGGTAAGAATATTTAAAAATATATTTCAAATATATTTTTCTTCCATATGGCATAGGTGCATGGCAACAATGCTTAAACACAAGAGTCAGAACAGTCAGTCGTTTTCCTTTACAAATAAAGCTTAGTGAAGTTTAAAGCCCAACTCCAGAAAATGATGAAACTGCTCGCACTGCAAGATGTAATTACTCGTTCCGATCTAGGGAAACACAGAAAAGTAGATTTACCTACCAGATCCACTGCTCCTCTTTATGGCTAGACCATTTCCCTGCAGCGTTCTTTCTCCCATGCTCCAGCTGTCTAGGGTCCTGACATCATCAAGACCAATGCAGGGTTTATAGCCCTGCATTGGACAGGATGACAGAGATGAACAGCCTGCCCCTGGACTGTGCGGGAATCTTCTGGGGAGGATCAGGTAAGTAAAAGCGTTTCTCCTCTCCTCTAGACAAAATGAGCAGCAAACCCTTGCAGTTCAAGCACAGCCCCACTGCAAGGGATAGTTTTTAATCTTTCAGGTAGTGGCTTTAAAGAAATTTAAAAAAAAGAATTGCAGTGCATTTTATAATGCAATTCAGAATGTGAATGCATATCAATGCACACAATCTGTTGTGTAAAGACTTTCAAAATGTGAACCTTACAGCAAATGTGCAAAGTTGGCTGTCCCCAGGATTTCAGATGGTGCTGGGTTATTTGAATATTTGTTTCTGAAAATCAGTGTTTTTTATTTGAATTATTATTATCTTTTAATATTTCTTACCTCCTCAACTGCCCCTAAGTCACCGGCCACACTGCTACAATTTAAACTTTTGTGATGTGTGTGCGATTTCTGAAGATTTTATTGCTACTTCTGAAGATTTTCAACGATTTCTTGCAATTTGCAGTGCGGTTTCCATTGCAGTCTATGTTGGTGAAACAAAACTGCAGAAAAAGTAATGCAAGAACTACTTTAGAAATTGCGCTGCAGCAAATTGCACATGTTAAGACAGTGACATATACATGCTTTAGATGCAATTTCAATTCGCAAAGTGCACCTGAAATTGTAACGGTGTGACCGGGCACTATACAATTCTATGGTAGTACACCTAAAACCGCGTGTAACACGTGGCGTGCCAAAGATTCACCATATGCATGTGAACCAGCCCTAATTTGGAAAGAATTTTCATCCTCTGAAACCAAATCCCTCTCCCCCCCCCCCCCATTCCTCCCCAATGCCCCTCTTTTAGCTCTGGTGTAGAGATCTATTTCAGTAAATATACTATTTAACTGTCAAAGTTATTATCGCAGCAAACTTTTCATCCCTCAGATTAGAGCATTGGTTATATTTAATAAAATAATTAAGATAAAAGTCAGATTTTGGGCATCACCTGCAACAGAACTGCCATTTTTGGTGAGATGCTCCCAAGGAGAAATCATGTCTAAAAGGATGCAGCCACTTTCCTCATTAGAACCCTGCTAGTGCATCAGCTGATAGATAATTATATAATCACTCCTCACTTTCACATAGACAAACAGCTATTTCCTCAGAATAACAAAAGATAGGAATCTGCAACAAAGTTTGTTGAAATCCCTGCAATGTACATTGAGGCCCCTTTCACACGGGGTTGACCTGTCAGTAGATCCACTTGCTCAGTGGGGGATCTCTCCACTGAGCAACAGATGACAGGTTCATGTCCACTCTGCTGCTGAACAGCGGGCACAGACACAGCCTGCTGTACTCTATGGGGGTGGATGGGAACGGACCTCCTGTCCTTTTCCAGCCAACTGCCATCCTATCTAACGGATGGACGGGGAATGGATCACAATCCATCTCTTTTTGGTGGATCGGATCAGATTAGATGTCAGCCATAGAGGGGAATAGAAGTTCTGATCGGGTCCTTAAAAATGGTCAAGTGGACCCAGTCGGAACATCTGTGTGAAAGGGGCGAGATTACCCAGAGCGGAATGTTTTTTTTTCAACAAAAAGGCCCCTAAAATCACAAAAGTTGCAAGGTAGTTGCATCTTTGTCTTATCTTTGCAACTCTGGCTGCGACTTCAATGGATTTTTTTAAGCCAAAGTCACAAAACGTCCACGAGACACAGCCGATGAAAGATCACTACACCAGCTCACTGCCAGTGTCATGTGACTGCTGTGACTAATCACATGACAATTGTATACAATAGATGGCTTCATTTCATGCCATCCATTGTATACAATTGTGTTGTTAGCTGTGATTAGTTACAGTGGTCACATGGTACAGACAGGGCCAATCACAGGCAATCTGTACCATGTGATGAAATACATTGGTATTAGCAATCATAACTAAAAACAAATACTGATCACTTGCTCTGAATAGTACAATTTACTATAGTAACATGATATTGCTCTAGTTACAGTGTGTTGAAAAAAAATTGTAAAAAATAAAAATAATAGAACAAATTGAAAAAAAATCTATATACTGTATATTTTATATATATATATATATATATATTGTGACAGTATGAACGGCGAGGTGATAGATGGACGCTATGTGTTACCTCGCATTCGCTCGTACTTTTGAAGTTTAGGTGGAGTCCACTCCGGATTTTTAGGGCCATAATGGCAGGGGTGGTTCCGGACCAGATTTTGTGCTCCACTGATGACCACCACAGGTAGTATAAATAAGACAGGGCTGGAGCAAGGAGATGCTTGTGGCCTGGGACTCTGAGAGCCATTCTGAGAGAGCTGTGCATGAAAGTGATTGTTATACAAGCAAGAGAAAAAGGTTTGCTTATGATTTTGTTTTGGGTTGGTGATAAGGAGAAGCCCTTCACCGGTGAGAGAGGAAAAAGTTCTATGTTAAGTTAGTGCCTGGATGGCAAGGGTTTATTTTGATGTTTTG